TGTATATTTATATTACGGAGGAGCACACACATCCCAGCCCAAATGAACACCGGCTTCTCCAACGGTGAGTATATTGCTCTAGTCGGAAGCAATAATCTCCGACGATGGAAAGAATAACAAGAGTGGGAATGAGGAGGCAGAGCAAAAAAATAGGAAAAATAATGAAGTAGATCAAAATCAAAACAAACTTGGCATCATTAATTTTTCAAAGTCTTCTTTCTCCCTTCTTCTTCGCCTACATCGACGACGAAGACGACGACGAGCACATAAAGTTTACATCAACAACACAGGAATTAAATCCAAGCTTCTTAACCCTCCAGACGACTTGCTCCATTTTACACCTTTCACTGTTCGCTTTCCCTCTCTCGCCCAATTGCTCTCCGGTGAAGCAGGGTTTTAATTATGAGAAAATTGTTTAAATTTAAAATGCCTGAAAATAAATTGCATTACAAAACTCGCAACAGCTTTTCTATCAAACTCTATGTGCACATACACAAATAAACGTACGACCCAAATGTACTTTTGTATATACAAGGCCGTCAATAATTGAAACTAATTATCAAACTTTTCTGCAAATATCACAATCATAAAATTAACTAAACATTTGGCAAGTGATTCAGTTGAACAGCTTCACGTCGTTTTAACTCACTTACATAAGACTGATAATTGATTGCCTTTCGGTAGTTGTAGTTAAATACGTAAATATATGTAGGTAGTTTTGCATGCTTAAAGATTGCCATTATGCCCAGCCAGTTGTTATGCATGTGCTGCATGTGCGCCTTATATTTCATGGGTAAAACATAACAAGGGTTTCATGTGTTTCCCCAATTTCAAGTAAGGAAAGTATATAAATATAATAATAATCACGGCTCCCGGAAATTACAACGGATACGGGAAGAATTCCAGCCGAAAAATCACCCAGTTGAATGCATTATTACCCGCTCGGTAGGATATTGTTACATCACGAGAATAAAGAATTCTCGCCAAGTTTTCACTAAATTCACGGACAAGGATGACGTTAATTCCAAGTTTTAGGGTGGGCCAAAATCTAAACGTTTGAGATGAATGACACCATTAGACAAAGGTTAAATAAAAGAACAGCTTTTTTAATATATGAGGCACATACTTACTACTCACTCTCCGTTGCTTTGCCCCTTGTTACTCTGATGTAATGCAAGGAACGCCTTGGGAAATGAATTGAATAATTCAAATAAAAACAGAAGAAAGCAAAGTTGAAGAATTGTGAAAACAGCAAAGGGAGCATAAAGTGTTAGTTTGTTTGGTAGCCTAAAACTGACGACAATGCACGCATCCTGGCCTTTGTTTTTCCTTGGCGAAACAAGAGTTATTAAAAAGCTCATGAAAATTCAATTTTATGTAAGAACTCTCTGGTCTCCCAGTCTCAAATTTCAACCAGTAGCCCTTTTGTTCCTTCTTTGTTGGGCTGCACGGCGGAAGAGAAATCCACCATGCATCATGTATCACATAGATGCCATCCTTTCACCCTTTCACTGGAATAATGGTGTTGGCAAGAATTGTGTGTGTGACAAACATTGCTGTGTGTGTATGTAGATACATAGATTCTACTTACTACTTACTTACTCGTGTACTACAAAGTTGTGAACAAAAAGCAACCATCATAACAAAACGGAACTTCTCAACGGAAAGAAAGCAAAGATCTCCTAAGATCACATTAGAAATTTGAATCCGTTCCAAAAATTCAAATTTATACTGTGTGTTATTGTAGAACAAAATCTGCTCTAAAAGTAGTTTCACTTGGGATCATTCTTTGCATTCTTTGAATACATTTAAATTTTTGGCTACAACAACGTCATCCTTCTCAAACTTGTTTCGCTTCCTTCCGGATACGAAACAATAAAATCTCTTTCTTCAAAGGACAATCCAAATAATGGACCAAATTCCAAAAACTGAGGCTATTAACTTGCTGAAATTTGCACATTGCTTCCCTTACGAGGGAACATTTCAAATAAATATAAAAGCATCCACCACTTCGAATCTAAAATAATACGTGACTGCCCCATTACCAACTGTAAAGAGACATTAATGGCTCCATCAAAATGATTTTCTTGGTACAGCATGGAGCATTACGGTTGCAATAAACTTTGTAAAATTTCCTGCTTCTGGACAAAGAAACTAGTTTTACGACTTGTTCTTGTTTCTTTTCCCATTTCTTGCGCTTGTCAACCTAAATAATGCTGCGATGGCGCTCGTAAATAATTGTAATAAAGGTAGGACAATAAAAATGAGGACGACGATCCAACTTTTACATATAATACATATTTCATAAAATATCGTTCTTTACGTGCAACGAAAACACGCCATTACTTATCCTGCTAAAGTTCAAACAAACATGGCGAAATAAGTAATGGGCAAAATTAGTAATTTTTTAAAACCAAGCCACATTTCATTGGGCATTACAATCAAAGCAATTATATTCCCCTTTAATTGCATTTTTTATCTTCCTTCCTCCAGCATTCGATTCGCCACTTTTTATGCTCTTACGGCATCATCATCATCTTATCAGATAAGAGAGCTTTTTATGATGAAGGTTCCTCTCTCCTCAAGTTGGGCAATACCGCGCAGTCCACGGCATAAGTAAATTTAGGACCCAACCATGAAATTAAAGAGATTCAAATAAGTGTCTCTCATCTTGCTCTCATCTCTTGCCTCATCGTGTGTCGTCATATTCATCCGTCCCGTTTGACGACTGCTTGCCAATTACCCCACATCACGGTATCATTGTTTGTGGTGTTGAATATCGTTTGATGCGTCGGGCAAAGTGTGTGGTGAAAATATATGTGTCACCCCGTTTTATTTGGAGTTTGGTTCGCAAGGAGAAGAGCAAAAAATTTATGATTGCCTTTGCCATCGTCTTCCGATGGTTCCAATGCCCAGGAAAGTAATCATCATCATCATCATCGTAATGTTTATGTTCCCTTTTTACAATATTAGTGTTACGATATCATCAACCATCAAGCCAACTTGCACAATAATATTAGTCGTGAAGAATGCGTTCCTGTCTGCAGGTGGTCCTCATTTGTCCAATAATATCAGTTCAGCCAGTTAGCCAGCAGAAAATTATTATTATTATTATGCATATGAATATTCTAGTTTGCCATTATTTTACCACAGGATTCAATCATCAATGCGCAGATTACAAAGGGCCCATTTTAATGCAAAGTAGTAAAAATGAGAACAACAGTAAATGATTTAGAACCGCACTACATCATTTCTCTCCTTTCTTGACTAAATTATTATCTGTAAAGTCTGACTAACTTATTGTCTGATTTTATTTGTGGGACGAAAAATTTTATGGTCGAAATATTGCATTTTTATCAAAATGTAATTGCTTAGATGGTATGAATATCGTATTTTAAATATTTATATGTAAGCACATAAGTCGAGATTTTATTAATGTTGACATTTATTAGAGAATGCAGCTAAACAATAATGGTTGAGGCGAGGACATGAGGTAAAGGTAATCAGAATAAAAATAATGCAGGGAGTGAATTTTGATATTTAGCAGCAATAGTAAAATCGTAGTGATGGAGGATGTCGCGGGGGTGTTCGAACGCGATGCTGACAGCGATAATTGATTTGATTACAAGAAGAATCGCGTGATTCACGAATAAAACAGGATTCAGCAACACCAAGCAACCAACTACCACCAACAGCTCCCACCACTACCACGATTACTTACTGAAAGCTCAGGTTTTAGGGATGGAACTAAAAGAAACGAAAGGAGTTAGTCGTGCAAAAAATCACCACGCCCAAATTTGGCTGGGTAATACTTGTAAGACTTGTCGGTAGCCCTGGGTGCCGGTAAGTATCAAGTTCCAAGTATAAACATGAAGCTGGTCGTCTTACGAGTTGTAGAATTTCTGATTTTATAAGTCTAATCCAGGACAAATCTAGTGTAACTTTAGACAGCACAATTTGGATGACAGAATGAGTATGAAGGGTGTTAAAACCTCCTGTGCAGATTACTATGCCACAGCAAGGAATTATTCATATTTATTTCTGAATGTGTGCGTATTCCTGAAGTTCGAAATTGGTGTGTGTAAGCCCCCTAAGCTTCCCCGGATTGAACAAATTTTCCAAGTCGATGATATTTTTGTATGTATTTTTTTTTACTATAGGTCATATTGCTGTATCTAAGATATTTTTTTTAAATGTGCACAACACCGCATTTCATTGCTTTCACTGGTCTTTATATATACCCGATTAAACTCGTCCTTTAATTTGATCCAACACATTTGTCTGCTGAATTTCATGTCAATCGAAAAATATTCAAATGAGCTAATGTGCCTTCAGACATACAGTCAGGACGGTTCCATAAGCCTCGACTCGAGGTAAAAAGGAATAGAAATACTGGACCCCCGTTTCCTATCATGATGGCATTGTAGTAATTACACAACCTCCATTTTTAACCCTTCCTCGCTCCCCGCTTACTTGTCTTGCTTGCATAACTAATGTAAATGCCCGATTCGGATTTTTCCTACTCTCTGCCCCTTCCATCCAAAGTAATATGGTGGCGTATCAAATTCTGAAAGAATTGCATGATCGAACTCATTTTTTAGGGGGATGTAGTCCACTCATGCACACCCGCGTCGCCCCATGTTATTCCATAATCTTTTTCATTTACAGTTTCCTCAGCCCTGCTTCTACACCACTCAAATATGTATCAATCTTTCGTTGAAACTAAAATACTATGATGGGACTACAACTACACATAAGCATAGTGTGGGGTGCAATAGTGTCTGCTTAAAGAAAGGCTTTCAGAATTCTCGGAAACTGTCACAAATAAAATTGAGACATTCAGGATTGATTTGTTCCTAATTCCATTTTCGTTCAATCTGCTACGTGTACATGTATGTATATTAACTGAAGTTATTTATGCGCACAGTTGCGAGTCCAATATTTCGAATTCATAATATGAATGGGATGCTTAATGAGATGATAAGCATAGAATATCGTACCTGTGTGAAGTCGTGTGTGTTGCTGGACGTGAGAAAGTTGCTTGAATCTGCGATCGCAGTAGGAGCATTTATAGGGTTTTTCTCCAGTGTGAACACGGATGTGCTGGACTAATTGATGGTTGGATGAGAAAGACTGAAAAAAGAAAAATATTATAATTATTATCAAAGGAAAAGCAGGCCAATATAATTATTAGCTTGAAGTTCACCATGGGGTGGCGGGAACAAAATAACATAAATGAACAAAATTTTTTGGACAATTCATTAATTTAGTTCTTTGTTGTTTTTGTTTGAATAATGATAATTCAATCGTTGTGCACAATGATTAGTGACAATGAATTGCTTCGACAGGATCCCAAAGTGGGGGTGGACTTATTCGCCTGGAAGGACGACAACGATGACATTCAAATGAGAGTTTTGACGGATCAGGATATCGAACGTAATTTTAATTGTTTGTACTTCACTCTCAGTTTGTGGAAAATGGTAATAAATTGTTTGTTTTAATAGAGAAATTGATCCAAATCTACTTCTCCCTTTTGACTGACAAATACCAGGATGTTAGGGACATGACTGTAAACGTCGGGCCTGCACGCACCTGTCTTATAAGCATCACTGAAAAGATCACCAGTCAGTTCAATAGCGATGCTTTGGACCTCGAGGGTTGCAAAGTTAAGTAAGAGATAAATGGTTCATAGTACAAAAACATTATTAAAATCTATTTACACAAACAAACAATTTGCAGAGAACTTTATGAACAGTGGGGATGGAAAGTGGATCCTGCCTTGACCTATTCTTTCCACATTTACAGCGACGATTCATGGGTAGCTGACCAATTCAGGTTCCGCATCCGGAGAAAGTTTGGAGTTGTCTGCGCCAAAGCCCCGTACACCTCAGAGGTAGTGTTGGCGAAACACGCTGAGAAGATTGATGATCATTTGCGGCAGTTTCTCCATCGTCTTCCTCAAATTCGACAGGATTACTTCAACAAACCTCCTCCTCCTCCTCCAGAGCAACTACAAAATCCACTACCACGCCCACCACCGCAAGAGAAACGTAGTTGTAAGTTTTGTGGTGCAGTTCTAGTTGGAGTCGGGACTGATGACTTCAACCATATGAAAGTATGCATTTATTTTTCTGTTTAGTTAGCAAAACAATACAACTGGTATTATGTACAGTATTAATTAATATGTAGACAAGCCATTACTCGGGACCAAACGCTATATCCTGTGATCTATGCCCCTGTACTTTTGCAACACCAACAAGCCGAAAGTCACACCGAGCCAAGTACCACCCAGGAGCAAAACCACAAAAGAGGAATACATTCGGTATCCCCGATATTAACGAGGAGGACGCTGGTAAATGTGACGCCCTAATTGAGATTGTCCCACTAGAAGAAGGGTCAAATTTGACCAAGTATAGGTGTACTTGGGGACGAGAGTGCGACAAAATAAAAAACGGATTGGCCTCTTCTCGGTAATTGTCTTTGTATTCTCATGGGAAACAGTATTATCTTAACATTGTTCTTACTGCTGTTACAGCGAACACGTTTGCGCCCATTTAGGACTCAAACCGCACATCTGCCCTGCATCAGGATGTACCTATTCCTCTTCATTTTACGGCGGGACTGTCGTCCATTACAAGGTGTGTACTTTAATTTTCTTTAGTTATTTAATGAGTTCTAAATCATGCATTTATTCCCATCAAGAACCAGAGGATAAGGACTCTGAGGAACAACAAGAGGAACCCCCACATAAAAAGACAAAATCCTCAACTCCACCATAAAAATTAAGTACACGAGTTATCCCTGACTAGCTGATTACCATTTTTTTGCATAAACATGTTCATGTTAAGTCTTTATATATCCATTAATAATTAATAAAATATTTACAAAATGTACAAACTTTGAGACATTGTTGACATTGGTGTGGTTTGGATATCCCAGCGCCGCTCTCGGAGCCGGAACTGGAACCTGCCCTCATGAGGGGACCATGAGGTCCCATATGGTGACCGCCGCCCTGGACCTGCTGAGCCGCCACTGCTTGCTGCTGCTGCTGAAGCTGCATCGCAGACTTGTGCTGGAAAAATATCTGTGAGACAAGAAGAAAAATGGATTAGATAAATCGAGAATTTGGCGGAGGGAGACGTTACTTCTAAATGGATTAGTCGGCTTTTGTTGGCAAGCCTGCCTACTTTCTACACATAGGTTCATACATATGCCCTTCCTCTACTGCGGGGAATATAATATCGATCTCTCAATTTGATTCAAGCTGGAGAAAAATCATTTCCTGTCAAAACATCAAAAGTTGTAACAGACACTGAGGAGGAACTTCATAAAATTTCCCTAGACGATGATGATGATGAGTAGTTCATCATCGTCATCCTTCTTCACTTTGCGTTTTTAATCACTTTTTTTAGAAAAACTTTCCTCCTATCACAACCACCTACCTACACTCTCCTTGGTCTTTTACTTCTTCACAGTGTTAGCACTTTTGCTTCTTCCACATGCAATTTACAGTCTTTGAAAGGGACTGAAAAGTTTTCTGGGTAGAGAACAAAACGCCTTTTTCTTCTCAGAACCAACACTTTTACAGCCTCTTTCTCTCTCTCTGTTCATTTGACAAGTTAACCAACTTAACTTTTAACTTGCCACAAAAGTGGTGAAAAAACTCAAAGCCAAATCAAACACTTGAGCCACCTCGCTTTTATGACCAAGTTTCTATTCCAGCAGCAGCTCTCTAATAATGGAAAACCTTTTACCTTTCACTTCAGGCTGAAGAAAACTCAATCCCAAACTCGTTTTCAATATAATTTCACTTTTGACTTGTTACCTCATTTTTAATTAAGTTTTCCAATAATAGTGGCACTTTCAGGCACATTTTTCTCTTTCTCCTACCTCCGCTCTCATGTCTACCTTCCCACCACCAGCCAAGGACGACAAACTTTTTCTTTTCTCAAACTTATGAGAAAAGAAAAGAGATTTATTAGATGCCTCCGTCTCAAAGAGTGGGGAACTCATAAATTGGACCTTGTTTTTTGTATGACAGTTGTGATTGCATGAAAAAAGTTGAGCTGATAAAAAGGGAGGAGGAAAAATGAGAAAAATTTGGTCCCAGTGTCTCCTTGATGATTGAGAGAGGCAATGGGGTATAAAGTCAGAGATACTCATTCCACTTTTTTCCACGTATTTTTTTACATCCCTAGCTCCAACTGTCAAATACTAATGGAGAAAAGTTTTAGTCTGGTAAAAAAGTGGTAATTTTCTGTCCCTCTCCTTTCTGATTTCTCATTGTGCAAACAGTACACCATTTTCATGTTCCTCCCTCTATCCATCACAATAAAACGAACAATATAATAATGCTGGGGGTCGTCGAAATCACGAGTGGAATTGGATTCATTTTCATTTCAGTCGGAGCAGCAGACATCAGAAAAATTCGTCTTCAGTTCAGTTATTTCTGCTCTTGACTGGCTGATTGTCAGACAGTCAGGAAGCCAGCAGCCAACTTTCTTCCTTGCCTCGACAGTCAAAGTCAACAAGGAAAGTTGACAGCTTTCCACATCTTTCATCCAGCATTAACAGCACAGCATTCACATTACTCTTGGATTAAAAATGTGAAATGTGACGAAAGAAATTTTGACGTTTCCTGCTCCTCTTCCCCACCAAATGGATGATGGAGGTCTTGCTTTGACGTCCTCAAAACAACATTGCAGTCAAAATGGATCAATTATGCGGAAAAGGCTTGTTTGTGGGGTGATCATTCCCACTGGGATCTGCTCTAATTGAGTTATTGAGTTTGAAACAAACCTTTTTGGTTTTATAATACAACTTTACATAATGTAGGGCTTTGGTAAATGAGATTTAAAAATATAACAAGAATCTAAAAAATATGTGCATAATAATAAGTGCTTAGTTTCTGAAACCGCAATTCGTTCCTAATGCCTATAAATATGTACCCTCTAGAATAAATACGCGGTGGTCTTCTCTACCACCCACCAGCGTACACGTGATGAAGTCAAAAAATCTTTGCGGACTTTGGAAGGGACAAAAAAGTCATTAAGATTCAAGAGTCGACCTCATTTCATTCTTTGGACTTCCCGATGCCCATTCCCGTGTTAAAAGTGCATGGACAGGAAAAAGTACATCATAATCACCGTCGACGTATGCATTTTCTTTGTCAAATGATACTTCATGTATACATACATTGCATGCAATGCATTATTACTTCTCCAAGAAAGTGCAGAACCATTGGTATTCCATGCCTCAAAATATCCTGGGTTAATGCATTTCCTTAATCAACCCTTTAAAAAGTGGTGGAAACTGGAAACACGACCGAACCGATCCTCTCTCTAATAATAACAGATCAATTTTTAATTCCGGAAGGATGTTACTCTCACCCATGGAATACGTGAGTAAACTACAAATGGACTCGAGCATTGGGAAAAGAAGTAATAATAAACCCCTGGGTTTCGTTTCCAGTCGTTAGACCCACCGACCGATCGAGCGACCACTAATATATTATAATTATTGGTAGAGCTGTGCCACACTTTAATAGCAGATAGCACGCCATGGCATTACAGTTTTCTTTTTAAAACATGCACCTTATCATACTACACTTGTCGGCTATTTTCACGTCGTTACATAAGTGCATAAATACATCTCTCGGTATAAAATCCCTCCTGTCAATTTGAAGCAAGTGGTAGTAAACCAAAGTCGTCAAAACGGCTAAATATGCAAACTGTAGAATTTTTCGATCCCGTCGTCAACGAAGGTTTCACCCATTCGTTCTTTATTACTTCGATCTATTGTCATTGTCAACCTCCTTTGTCTTTGGAAAATTCCACCCCAGCCAAGCCAACCCTCTAGCAATGTCACAACACATATCGAATTCGGATCAGTGCAGCGAGTGAATCCAAGTGAAACTCATCCCGTCGTCCCATCAAAGAATGAGTAAAACGCATGAAATTGTCAAGTCGTATTCTTCTCCTCCTCTCGTCTCTCGTATTTGGGACAGAAAAGGAGGTGGACTAAATGTGCAAAGGGAATGCACACATCACATCACATGCATATTTTCAATGGTGGAGTGAGCAAGAAGGGATTTGGAATGAGTCATAAAAAAGACAAAAAGAGGGTGGGAGAAAAATATACGGGAAAGAAGGGGAATAAAACAAATTTTTAAAATGCCCGGATCGTCATCCCACCATTTCTCGGTATTATTGCACTCGTTCCTTCCCTCCTGTCGTACGAGATGCTCGTGATGTAGAGTTGCCTCCGAGATAAGCGGAGCGAATCATCATCACCATCATTGGACGAGGGGACCAGAGATTTTAGCATTTTTAAATAATTTTTACTCCTTTTTACTGTCTGAAATATTGCCCCTCGGTCCTCTCCGCCGGCTTGAGGACTCTCGGCGTCCCATCTCCAAAAGTCAATTTAATTAGCTCGATCGTTGCTGCCCTCGACTACTTTAAAAACTCGGCAGCCTAATGAGAAAAAAATGGAATGGTTAACTGGGGAATAAAAATGAGGGGGATAGCGAGATTGCCGTGCCGGCAGAAGCCCTTTTTGTCTCATTTACTATTTATTGAACTCATCTGCTGCCAAACATGAGAACCCCGAGGGCTCACGGTAGCCAAACCAATGTAGCAAATGCATGTGTACATACATACAGATACGTACAACCAAGGGCACCCATCCTCCATTCCCGGATAAAAAATCGGGCTTCTGCCGGCAGAGAAAGAAAAATGCTCTCATTGGTTTCCCTACAATCGTGTGGGATGTATCCACAATGCAATGCCGTGCTATCTTCTCCTAGCACTTTTATGGGAAAAAAATTGGGAGGTCGATTCTAGGCGCATGCGATTAGGGCGACAAAAATACTGTATGGCTGATTTTTTTCCTATGTCTCCTTGTACAATTATTTGTTATACTGTTTGAAATGTATGTACATACGTTAAGCAATCAAACCTCTAAAAGTTTAAATATTGGTCGGAGATTGGAAGAAGCTCATCATAAAACTCCGTTGGGAGTATGCCTCGTTGAATTGCATTAATTAAGGCCCCCTGATCAAATACATACATAGATTTAACTAATGTAAATGTAGTATCCTATGATTCAACATTAACGTTTGTATCATTCCTCATTAAAAATTTGCATATCCCAACCGTCCGTGCTACTCTTTGTCTTACGATACATAACTTCCGTTTTTATCGAAGAAAGTAAAAACGCTTGGTATGTTTAATGCCGGTAAAATGTAGGTGCACAACTTGGAAGTGTGTTTGGATCGAGTATGGGTCAGCCCTCTGGCCGTCCTGCCTCTCTCTCCCAATCCATTACGGTGGGAGGATCACTGAAACATTCATTATTTTCGATAAACATCTAATTCACCCAAAAATACATATCTTATAACAACTACTTACTACTTTTGGGTATTCCTTCTCGCTCAATCTCCTGATCACAAGGTGAATTTTCCTAATAATTGCTGAATACATGTAAGTACCAGCTACCAACCAACACAACCCCTGAAATTAGTATATGCATTTATACGATGATGAGTTTGTATATAGTCAGGTTATGGTAAATCCATAAGATCGATTCGACATTTCATACATAACAAAGGGTTGATGTGGGTTAGTCAACTTCAAAGTGGTTTTTAAAGGTCTGTTTTTCTTAACCATTACATTTATAAATGTGTTTAGTCTCGGACATGTGTACGAACGTACAAAGTAAATAGTTGACTACGAATCAGCATATTTAAAACTCAATGTAGCAATCAGCAAGACTGGAAAGTCGACGCCTCTTCAGACCAACTCTTTCAATTAGACAAGAACGAATACAATGAATTTTTTAATAGCGTGATTCTCCGGCACCTTGACTGCTACATAGTTGTTCTTTCTTTTCCTCAATTATTATCTAAAAAATATGCGTATCCGTGGAGGTTGTGGTTGACCATGCAGCTCGAAATCGTGCAACGGGGTTCAGGACAATAATGTGTAGTATATGGTTTGCATCAATCTGTGTATGATCAGATCACACCACCACCACCGCCACCATTTTGATTACATATCTCTGCAAAATAAATACTGCCTTAAA